TTATTTGTTTTTAAACATGTCCTTATTAGTCATTTAATGTTAAATAACAACCGCTAACCATTATATAGCCAAACAGTTATATTTATCAAATCTGTTATTTACCATTCGCTACTCGTTTTCCGCTATTCGTCATCCGCTATCCGCTAACCGCCACCCGCTATCCGCTAACCGCTAACCGCCACCCGCTACACACTACCGCTATCCGCTATCGGCTATCCGCTACCTGCTATCCGCTATCCACTGAATTTTAACCGTTGTACCAAACAGGTCCTTAGTATGACACTAGAAAGGCTAGGCACCAATTTTAGTATACTGCAATCCCATTTATGTATTCAATGCTACCCATTTTATTATTAAGACATTTTGAAGCTTCTACTAAAGAGAGGAGAACAAAAGGTATGCCATTATCAAAGATCAAAGAGCAAATAAGTTTAATTCCAATTCAAGACAATACACAGAAAAAGCAAAGCCAGCAACATGCACAACCAATCAATTATCCCAAAATTCCCATCTGTGGCTACCCATTCTTTGTAAACAAAAACCTGGGGGTCTTAAGAATTCAAATTCTCAGAAAACAGACTGTCAAAGCTCAATTCTACTAATTTCAAACAGATATAGCATAAAACATTTTTTCCAATCTTCAAAATAAAAATTTTTGAAAAATTTAGACTTTTTTCCTTAGACTCTCAAAACAAATATATTCAAAAGAATCATGGAGTAAGTCATAATAGCTGCTAAAAAGTCCAGTATAAAAGTTGAACCCATTTCTCGTGGTATAAGTTCTTCATCAAGATGAAGTTCAGTTCTCTATATACCAGGCTCTTCTCTATGTAACAACCCTACTTCAACCCAAACACTTCCTCCCACAATGCCACCCCACAACACCATTGACATGCTCATTGCCCTCCTCTTCCGTTCTATTCTTTCACAATACTAGAAACATTATTAAGGGCTGCTTAGTGCGGCTTGTTGGACCTTTTACTTTTAGAGTACTATTTATGAGTGATAAGTTTAAATTTTTATTGGAGGAAAAATTTAAAAGTTGTTTTTAGAGATAGAAAAAAAAAAGTAAAAAGAAAGTTTATGAAAAACTTGAATTTGAAGCTTTTGATCTTTTATTGTTTAGGATCTTTTTAAGAGTAAAAAAAAATTTAAAAATGTAAGTTTTCAAGAGAAAAATTTAAACTTATGAGATATAAATAGTGTAAAAAAATTGAAACACTTGAGAAGCTGCACCAAACATATCCTAAGTAAATGAAAAATGAAAAATGAAAAATGAAAAATGAAAAATGAAAACGAAACAAGCAAAGCCACATCCACAAAATTTAATAAGAACACTCCTCCCAAGAGCACTAAAGCATGAATCTACAAACGAAATCCAATCAAGAACCAAAAATAAGGCCTCGGAGAAAAACAAAAACAATATGAAAATCCTTCTCAGTGCCATCACCACGAACTTGTGCGAAAAACCGAACAAGTACCTTCAGAGGAAGATGAGACACCAACCGGAGAACGGCGCCAATAGTTCCTGTTAGCCGCATCATTTGAAGGCTTGCGGAGTTCCGTTTTGGTATTAGAACCATCAGGAGGCGGAGACTGTAAATTTGAATCCATCAATTCCATCACCTGAAGATTTTAAAAAATAATAATAATAAAAACTCTTCCAAATTAAGATGGAAAGTACAAATACAATAAATAGTAAAAAAAATTAGCATAATTCCGATGTATCAATTCTCTTCATTTTCCAACACTTTCCGAGCAACCAAA